TTCAGAAGAAAGATTTCTGTACAATCGAATATATGGTGTTATATACGAATTCAATTGTACAGGACGATAATAATTCAATTCTGCTTCAACCAAAGCTTAAAAATAGTTCTTCCAGCGCAAATATGAACAACAGAAGTTTATAATCGTCCCTTTTTCCTGTCATTGAAATGGTAAATTACAATTTTGCAACAAAAATTTCCGACATCAAAGTTTCAGCTAATATTGCTTTAAGTACCATTCAAATACATGTGTATCTTCAGTACAAAGTGTGTGCCTGCGTTGTGACGGCTGCTGTTTAAGGCATTTTCGAGGTTAATATAGTTCCGAATATTTCCGTAAATTTTAATTAATAACCGGAAAGTGTACAGCATTCTTTTCGGCAGATTATATTTTATCAAATAAACTTTGCAAAAGCAATTATATTGTAGAATTTATTTGATGAAATAAAATCTTTTGGAAAGGAGAGCAGTAAATAATGCTAAAAAAAAAAAAAATCTGAGTCTTTTCCCAAATTCTAAAATACAGATAAACTTAGGTAATCTAAGTGGTTTCTCTATGGAGAAAAATATGGTTTAAAACTGTCCTACTTCTGCCCCCGCCCACTATTCAAAGATTTCTTAATGTGCATATATGCTAAAAAAATTTCTTTCAAAATCTGTATAGGTCAAATGCATCTACATGTATCAACAATTTATAGATGGAGCTGAATTCTCAGAAAAAAGAAAAAATATATTTCCATTAAATTAAGGAAAATGGTTTCAGTAGAGTTTCCTACACAGTTTTTAATACCTGAAAACTCAAACAGTTTTTAAAGATCAAAAGACAACAAAAATTCATTATATTTTATGTATATTTTATGTGCATTTGAAATATGTATTATCGCATTAATCATTTAAACGTATAATTAATTTTTTTTTTAAAAATTCACAGCATGTGATCAAATTTGGTTCGATGTTTAAGAATGACTATATTGACTACTTCAAATGCGTATAATGAACTTGAAAGGGCAAGCTGAGGAACTTTTCTATGGACTTAATAATTACACAGTTAGCTATTTCCTTTAAAGCTCTCCGCAGGTGGGCTTCTTCATACCCAATAAGCAGGAACTTGTCATTGTTTCTAATGCTTTGTACCAATATATTATCGATGTCTTAAAAAGAACAGTCCGTTGGCGAGGTAAGAGTTCACTGTCAAATTTAAACATTTTCGTTGTTTCCCCTTGATATTTGGGTCATTGACACGAGGTTGACCCAAATATCATCTAGTGTTTTCTAATTCATATAAAAAATAAATATCCCGGACCTATGGCCGACGGGATTTCAATGTTACCAGATTTGTTAAGACTATAATTAGTTAAAAATCGACATTTTAATACATTAGGTTTAAGTGTTATGGCTTCGTATTTTTTTTTTAATTTAATATCATGGATACTGAGTATAAAATGATTTGTATTTTTTATGAATTTAAGGTGATGGCTCCTCAACAAAATTTCACCAAATTATCTTGTCACTTAAAATATTCAGTCTTGTTAAATAAAAAAAAATAATAATCCTGCATATTAATTATCAACAAACATATTTTGTTTTGTTCTTTTTCCTTAGGTCTGGCGTTTTGAATTTTGAAGATTTTAGAATCATTCAGGAAAGACTACATGAATAAATAAATAAATAAATAAATAAATAAATTAATTAATTAATTTAAAAAAAACATCGAACCATTTGTGATCCTAAGTTAACTATTAGGAATGTCCCCTCCATATTTCAGCACGGACACAGGTTATATAGGGCACACACATATCCAATGGCTCAAGTGTGTTTAAAATTCTTTCTATTTCACAACCCTAAAAGTCAATACTAACTACAAAATTATTCGGAGAAACTCTTTCAAAATGTTGATATTTCGGTGCCTGTAGTGAATTACGCCTTTGGTGAAGTGGAGATTTAAGCACTTGCTTAAGCGCAACATTCAGGCTGAAAAATTCGAAGTATCTAGAATCTTTAAGTTATTATACAAATACTAAATATTAGTTAAATGACAATTCATACAAGATTTGGCTATAAATAAAATGTCTTTAGTTATTTTGTGAGAAACTTTTTTTTAATTAATGTACACTGATTAACAAAATGAGGTAAAGTAACATAGGAGGTTTTGTTGTACAGCATACAAGTACATATGCACCAAGTAAAGTAAGGTGATAAACACTGAATTAAATTGAACAATATCGTAGTAATAACAAATGAGTCGTTTATTTCTAGGATAGGGCTGTGATAATGAGGATAAATTGATATAAGAAAGAACATTACTGAATCCCATTAAGAATATTGAGAAAATCCATTAGTCCCGTATCTCACTTTCATCTGGGTGCAGGGATTTTCATTTCGTTTGTCTAATTATTAAAAGGCAATTCTAATGGTAAAGCAGTTATAGTACTGGTGACTTAGCAACCAGCTACTCCTTTGATTTTGCGTCCTTTTTTTTATTTTCCATATATACGTATGAAACACAAGAAAAAAAGATTCAAAATCTTACTTTTGATTTCGCTGTTTTACTGAAGTACTCAGGACTCTCTTGGGCACTGTCGACTTAGTTTTATTTAAATTCAAACAATTAAAATCTACAGAAATTTAGATATTATTGATAATCTTTTTAAATTCTTTTTATTTTCTATACGATGTCTAAACTTTTCATTCATGTTGTAACACAAGTCTGATTTAAACCTCCAAATATGTTTAAAATTGACAATGTCATAGTTACTTTCAGATTAAAAACACAATTAATCGAATTAAGGGTTAGACAGGATATATAAAGGCTATAAGTAATGGATTAGAATGAATTAAAAGTCTTAAAAGCATCCGGGAAATCACCTAAGATCAGACATCCGTTTTCACTGGTGAAAACAAGATCCACGGATCTAGGTGTGAAATTAATTGTTCAGAGGTAAACAACAATTACCTTTTAAAAAGACTTAAGCAATGTTAGATCATATTTACCAAAACATAGTAATAAACAGTAAAACAAAATGACAATAAATTTCTGACGAAAATATATTGACTAGGATGACGCTAAAAGCCCATTTACGTACATGTGGATGTTACAGAGCTGTATTGTACCCTCGACTGTTAAGTAGAACTCAAATCTATTCTCAATTTTACATCACAGTCGAAGGTTGTATTAATTTAATGAAATAAGAATTTATATGGTCGTTTGTTTGAATGATTCTTCTTTGAAAACATAAAAAAAAATCCTTATTGTCACCACATTGACTTTCTTTTAAACAGTGAATATTTGAAGCTTAATGTAAGAAAAAAAATCATGAAAACAGAACAGAATCCATCATATTTTGATTGTTTCTTTAGATGGAATATGAAATAAATATGACGATTTCAGACATGTTTTCAGTTAATACGTGTAAAATTCACCTTCTCAGTCGGACAAAACTGCTCAGTTTTGTTGACATTCTAGCATTGCTAAGCTGACTTAAGCTTTTGAAGTTGGAAGTTTATGTCTCAACTTTATCAAAAAGTCGATCAGGATAAGGCAGAAATTATGTACATAAACCACTGCTTTATAGGTCTGTAGATATGAATTCTGCAGACTTATATTTCAGCGGTGACATGTGTGCGGACATCATTTGAATGTTTCCCATGGATATGATCGCCGACAGGTATAGGCCCATTGATTCTGTAATGAGAAAATCGACCTTCAACCCCATCTCTCTCTTTTAAAAAAAATATATTCTTTAGTTGATGATAAACAAGTGTTAAGTATTCTTGATCCTTATCAGTAATCATTGAAAATTCGTTTGCTGTAATTGGAAATGATCTCATTACTAAGTTCATTGTCCACTGAGGTATATATATCTGCTCTTCATTATTATCCCAGCTTTCATCACAACTACAAAAACTCGGAATGAAAGAGATTCGATTTATGGAGTTTTATCAAAATTTGATCTACTCCTATTCATAGAATTAATGAGTTGATGTTTCACGGTTTTTATTCCCCGATTGTTTCATTCAGAGATTTTAACACATCTTTACCATTCGTTGGATGTGCTTATCATAAATATGCTTGTTTTATATAATGCACAGGCTTTACATGGATGATAATCTGCCAATTAAAATTTTACCGTTTGTCATCTCGTAGTTTGATAAAGATCATACTGCCTGTACCTAAATCATTTGAAGTCGGAAAATCACGTTATGATTCATACAATATGCTAAAAGGATTATCTTTGATATTCTAAGTAGATATACAAGATTTAAATCTCTTATTCATCGGGATTTTTATTTTAGATATCTCAAGATTAAACACCTATATTTAAATACATTTATAATCAGGTAAATTCCAATTCATGTCATCAAGCACCGAAATTATGAACTTTGAAGTAATAGTTTTTATTCTCTCCGAAAATTAAGGTTGTACATTGAGCGAACATTGTTTATTTTCAAAATAGGTTCACATAACAACCAATAATGCGACATATTTTGTTATTTTGTTATTGAAAACTAATGACAGATATTGAATTGATGTTAGATAATATAATGTAAAGAGAAAAAAGAATAATATTTTATTACTTAAAAAACAAAGCCGTTTCTATTTGAATTATTGGAAAACGTTTTGTTTTTCTTAGAGACGATGTGCTTCCGGAGAATCTTATTGATTCGTTCTGTGGGCTCACAACCACTAGAAGCTACTGAAATGTTTCCATCCAAAAATAAACGTCTTAGGTCGATAAATAGAAACTTTGTAGAAAAATAAGTTCTCTTGACTTCATACTCCTCTGTATACTAACTTAACTTTATTGATTGCAAATCAAATATTTAATTTCCTCTTCCTTAATACGTGTTAATATGTGACAATAGTTTAAATAAATATACCAGTGTTATAATTAGATTTGAAATGTTTGTGGTACTCGGACGTTTACTGGGAGACAGAGGCTTGAAACATGCTTTATTTGTATCTTACAGTTGACTTGGTAAAACTTTTCCGAACAAAACAACCTCTGAAGCCATGGACATTGTAGCATTTCCTCGTTCTCATACTCAGTTGACACTGAATGACCCTGTGTCCCCCAATACCCTGTGGAGAAGGAGGGAAAATGTTTCTCCGGTTCGTAGACAATTTACCATATCCATGCCATGGCCCCCCAAAGCAAATGATCTGAAGAGACAAACATTTTTACCAGAAATCCAAGGAAATGCACGTCATTCTGAGAAAAAAATCCATTCAGTATCTTTTTTAACGAAGCAAAAGTCAGGTGCACATACCCCGGTCATAAAAAGACAAAATTCTTTGAAATCTGGTACTAATTCATACAGCTTAAGATCTGATTCTGCACTGTCTAATGATGTCATGGATAATTCCCGGACCTTCCAAATTTTGAATGACAATAAAAATTTAAATACCTCGATCGATCGATTAGGGTTTAAATCCATTCAGCGGAACGTCGATATAAAATGCGAACCCAGAGCAGACTTCCCAATACACAGTTTCATACCGGGGGAGAGAAGAGGTCCTTTAAACCAGAGTACGGGCAAACATTTCCGAATCATTAGAGTACTATACAACACTATGGCTTCATTAAAACTGGACAACAGGCAAGAGCTGGCCTCTAACGACCATGCACGGCATCACAACAAAAGGCAACAACAGTGGATACGTAGCGAACAAGTGAAAAATTGGAGAAGATCGTCAGTGAATAAAGCTTCCAAAAAGACTGGTTACACCAGTGGTAGTTCGTCTGGACAGAAGTCTGACGTGATCAGTGGCAACTCTGACGATACAATTCACACAACCTCCACCCAAGGAGAGAATAACCACATCTTCGAAAATCCCATGGATGCTGAAATGAAAGAAAGTTTTCACAAATGTCTGAAATGGATGGAAAATTTACCGGAAAAATTCTCCGGAATGCACATTTTTACCCCATCAGTTAGTGATTGAAATCCTAACAATAGGGATTTTTAGTGTAGCCGAATTTCCCAAATGGAGCTTTATTATAGTATCCTATAATGGGCAAGCGCTCCAAACCCAGGAATCAGCAGGTCTGATTTAAAAACGAAGGTTTGGTCTTCCACGTCCTGAAGACGAAGCCTGTGCCTCCTCCTGCCAGAAGAAAGCACGGTGCTAATTCATCCGAACATCCAAAACAGTGATTGCTGGAAGAAATCTGTCAACTATGCTAAAGATTTCGGACAAAGTTGGAAAATATAAGCTTTTATGATTTATTCGAACAATCAAAACATTTTATGTACTTATTTAGCTGACACACAATTCCGATTGGATTTGAACGACGGTTCGACACTGCAGGGACATACATATACCTAATGCTAGTCATGACTGTTAATTAATTAGCCATGGAATTTTCATATATTTTTTTCATATTTATCATTTCATACATATTAAATATCTTCCATGTGCCAAACTTAAATCAAATTATTTACTTTATTGTTATCCTTTTTTGTTCTCACGTGTTTGACCTGTTGAAGTATAATCAAATTTGGACTTGTAAATTTAAATTAACATTTTAAGCTGGTCTATTTTGATACCACGTATCAATTTATAATTATTTACGATTCTGTTGGTATTTTCACATAAATATTTCACTGAATGTTTGCTGATAAAACTTACAAAGTAACAATGTGATAACGTTCAATTTCTGGAGAACAGCTCCAATTTCTGCTGACGCTGTTCCAATATTTTTCTCCGATTGCTTTAACAACAATGTCTTACTTCAATCACTGCTGTGATAAGTATGTTATATATGTTGATTTGATTGTTAAATGTAATAAATGTTATATACGTTTCAACAGAGTTTGTTTTATTGCATTGACAAGAGGATTTGTATGGAAGCTTTGAACAGTGGCCTTGTATAGAGTCTTTGGAAAGTTCTGACATAAAAGGTTATTTGACAACAGTTAAATGGAACATAAAACGTTAACCATTAGCTAAGGTTCCTACAAGCTGAGTAGAACTTATAGAAAGAACGCTGATCATAAAGAGTAAAGAAATTCATGCATAGAGTAAATCTATTTCAGCGGATAATGGGAGCTATGATTGGAAAGTAATGAACCTCTTGGCAGATACATTTAAAGACTCAAACTGACTGCTCTGATGGGCAGAAAAGTAATACATGTACCAAATATATAAATAAAAGGGCGTCAAAGGAAGGAATGGTACACACATTTTTATCATTCGTGCGAAACAGAAAAATTAACAAATCAAAACGTTCATCTCATTTCAGGAAACTCGAGCTCTATATATGACATTGGTTGTGTTACTTCTCTGTAACAGGATATTACTGGGAATCCAAGTAATTCACATAATGACACACAAGAATTCACTTAATGGCTTAAAGTTTTTAAAGCCTTTTTAATTCAAAAATACACACATAACACCACAATCAAATTTTAAATATAAATCTATTTTTTAAATCGGTTACTGTTACATTTGTTCGAAATACTTGGAAATAGGAAAATGTACACGAGAAACTCACACGATCTCCTTGATTAAATACTTGTCTAATATCTGTATAGACTGATCTACTGGACCCAGGGCACTATACAGCTTAATCATGCCGTGGTAGGCTTTAAATTCAGAAATCAAATATTGTTACTTTTATTTATCTTCTGACTACTTATGTACAGTGTTGATATGACGACTCAATAATACACATAAAAATGCTGCGAGTAGCACTAGCTCTTTCTGAAGAAATCATGATAAATACTTCATTTTTATTTCATTGATTAAAAGGTATATATTCACAATAAACATATATAAAGAGAAGGACTATTCTTACAATTTTAAGTTTAGCTTAGCTTTAGCAACAAAAATACTTTTTTTTTCTTTTATGCTATCTGAATACACATTTCGTTAAAGTTCATCAATTATTTTTCATTGTGAACACCCTTTAAATGGAAAAAAAAAATTAATAGCAATTGATAGCATTAATGAATGAATTTTTATCAGTTAAACCTTTCTAATATTGAATAAAAAGGTTGATTTAGAATAGTGACGACAAAAATGAATGGACATCTACTAATTAGAAAATATCAATTTTTGTAAAGTTCCTCGGAATAAAACAACTGAATTGGAAGTATTGATAATGTATGGCCGCCCTGAGTAATTATAGCTACTCCTACTACCACAGATTCAGGTTAAAACGCAAAACAAATAGAGTAAGTCGTTATTACACTTTTTGCGATCAATTGGTGATAATGAATTTGACAAATAATCGATTGGTTGCTGCCTTCCCGCAACGAAAGGGGCTTTCAGCATAAGTAACGCCAATTTCTGTAGAACGCAGACTAATTCATGGATTTTTTTTCTCTTGTTACCGTCGGAGCAGCTTAAGATTTGCATACTAGGTGAAAACATATTTACAGGAACGGGAGGGTTGATCTTAGAGATAAAAGAACATTTTATTCATTTATGAATTGTTCTGTGGTTCTAGACCAGTGGGAAATATAGATTGCTACCCTTCAGATCGCTGATCATTCTTTTTTCCTTAAGTGTTCAACATGAAATTAAATAAAATCAATGTAACGTGTGGTGTTGAGCATTTCATTAGTTTGTCAAGAGTGATAAATTAATAAAAGTTGAAAAAAAAAAATTAAAAAGAGGGTAAAAACGCCATGTATAGAGTTTCAATGTAAAACTTAACAAAACTCATTGGTACATTTCGGTGTAGATATCTCTTGGCCAGGAAATAAAATCTTGAACATTTGTGTAAATAAAACTTTACCGTGCATCTAGAAGTATCGCTTCATGCATGCTGTCACCAACCAACGATAATCTTCCTTGTTTGCACTAGAATCAAAAGAATACATACCAACTTTGGACTGTCGCTCGGGCGTAATTGCCCTTCTTCTCTTTTGTCAGGTTTTACCATGTATTTGCTCTTCAAAGACAACTTCAATAATTTCATTTTGTGAGAGAGCAAACAAACCAGGCAGTTTAATTCCTTTCTCTCTGCATTTTTACAGTATATTACTTGGATATTCTTAAGTACTGCAAATTTGAAAGAAGGGAATAAGAATGATATAGAAGAAGCTACAATCATCAACTAATCGTGAATTTTAATGACAACAAGTTACAATTCATCGAAAGAATGGCAGTAATAAATCGCAATATTTTTTTTTATATCTGAGGCATTAACCTTTGTATCCATTAGTCAATTTAATTTGCCCGAGAGGACATCTCTTGTAAATTTAAAATTAGAATTCAGCTTCAATATAGACTAACCCGGTGACACAGATTAAGAAACAACTTACAGTGCTGGAGAAATTTGTTCTAAAATCAAAACCATTCAAAGGTAGACTTATCTGATGAGAAAACAGTTTGAGGACATAGTGGTGAGAAAAACTAACATATCGACATTCTTAGTTTTGTTGCTTATTGTAGATATGTTTTTGTCGTGTCTTCTCTTTGTAGTCTTCCTAAAGATTTAAGTATACAATTCACTCCTCTTCTTCACCCACTTCTGTACGCCAACAAAAGAACGGTCTGGAATTGTCTACTTAAGAAAATTGTCTTTCCCTTAAGAATTAAGTCTCAGCAAAATCTTTGGTGTCAACAGAGGAAAATTCACAAGCTTGAAGCATCAACAATTTGTATTTATCTTGGATCAATTTTAAGGTCAAATCTAATTTTATCTACTGTAACTCTACCATTGATTGTATGGAAATGTCTCGAAAATGTGTCATGTAAAGAGTTAAATATATAGAAATCTGGTATGGCGTTATGTGGATCTTGTGGACCGTTACATCAAAGGGTCAACAAGAACCTTTGACGCTATGTAAAATTAAGAAAACTTCGGTTCAATTAGGTAAATATAACAAGCTGAATACCTAATCCTAGCTTCCTCTTATTTACACTGTTCATTATAAATATATCGTTACTACAACGCAGAATTCCTCTTCAAAGGTGAACAACCCAATTCAATGTTGCTACACCACACCTCTGTAACATAATTTGTTACGCATCTAATTATTAAAAATCATGCATGAGTTGTTAATATTTCACCATTATAAAGTATTTGTGTAATCTAGATTTCCATTTTTGTCAAAATGTGCATATTTTCATGCAAGTAATACACAACTATATGACATATTAAGGAGGGGTCAACAAATTAACCATCAGATATAACTTAATTTTTTTTAGATATGATATCTTAAGCTGTGAACTATCATTTGGCAAAGAAAAATTTTGCACATTTTAATTTTAAAATTTGATCATTTTTGTACATCTTCATATGGAGCTCTTCTTTTAAAAGAGATCAATATAGTCTGAAAATGGCCACAACCACCCAGCCCTCTTAACTGCACAAAGTATTCTGTCCTTTCTGGACATGATTATTAATTCACGTAGTAGGTTTTTGTTTTGAAAAATAAATTACTTGTATTACATCATTGGTCATTTGCAAAACTATTTTGTTAAATAAAACATTGTGATTGTACACACAAATTAAGTACTCTGAAGTAGATATTAAAAGATGCTTGAGTTTCTGATTGAAAATATCTATGTAGTTCTTGGAGATCAGGTGTTCCAACAGTTTGTCGGAATTCCCATGGGTACCAATTTCGTCCTATCTTTGTAATCATATGAAACAGTATTTATTCAAAAACTTATACATGAGAAGAAGAAAACTCTTGCTGTGGCCTTCAACTCGACAATTACTTACTAGTATTATCACAGTGAAAAATTCACTGTTCAAGAAAGAACTTTATTTTGGACTTTACTTTTCAATTTTTAAGTTGTGTCATATTTTATTTCTCACGATATGTTTCGCGAATCTAATTGTTTAATTGACCAGTGACACTTTTTGGACTCTTGATCTGTTGTTACAAAGAGACACAGAGTGCTATGTCTCAAGAACTGTTAATCTCTAAAAACAACACTGTGTAATTATCTGGGTTTTTTTTATGTCCAAACATCAAAGCGTCAGTGAGTTTATTTAATCAATCCATACCTGTGAATCTTTCACTCATTTTACTAAATGTCAACACCTGTCATTTATTTACTCATTATGTACATTCTTATAAATAGTCATGTATAATTTCAATCATTAGTCTGGAATATACGAAGGCCAGTCTCGGCCACGTCCGACTCGTCAGGACTCTGAGTCCGGGGCCACTTCGGCCAGATCCGACTCGATCTTTTATAATATGTCTGTTTGTTGATTCATGTAAACTGTTGCCATCGTTGAGACTCATCTAATAAATACGGAATCCTTCATCATTTGTTTTATCTCTGGACCTTCGGGAATACGGCACACCTATACTTTGTTTTTACCTCGCGGCCACACAGCGCCTCTACCTATACCTCGTACCCCCCTACGCCAACGTTCCCTCACCCCGTTCGTTCTGCAAACAACGGATGCTCTTCCAGACGAATTCCTAAGTACCGTCCAAATCTACACGGTCACAGTATATCGACGACATATTATCAATTACTAGTAACAATTATAGTTACTTCCATTCATATGTCGACTCGATATATCCCAGTGAACTTGAAATAAAAAATACCACAGAGTCTGACACATCTGTTTCATATTTGGATATTTTACTAGAAAAAGACGTTAATGGTAACATAACACAACTTTTTGACAAACGTGATGACTTCAACATTTCTATCGTCAACTTCCCTTACTTACGTAGTATTTTATCCTTATCAACTGCATATTGGGTATATCTCTCCCAGATGAGCATGAAAGAGCATGCTCCATGCAAGAACAATTTCTAAAACGGGGCAGTAAATGTTGATGGGTGATTATGATCAGAACAAACTCTCTGGTTATGAGCAGCCTGTG